TGCTAAGACAATTTAGACCACACTGCGACTCTTGTAAAAACAGCCTGACGGGACACACTTGGAATCCAACAGGTTGAGCTGACTGCAGACACCTTGAAAACCTCTTTTCCTCCCCCTCCCTCCTTTCCACTCCACCCGCTGCAGGTCCCAGCCTACATGCCGTGTTAAAACAGCCTCATGAACCGACATCCTCACTAATGAGCATTTCTGATCCACTGCTTCCAAGGGGAGCAGCTGGAACCTTCTGGGGAATTGCCTCTTCATTGCAAAAGGCCAGGAGAGGAGGAGCCTTCTAGAAATCATTCTCTGCTTTGTTACTGCGTCTTCCACTTCCTCCTCCAAGCAGATTTGGCTCTCAAATCCTGATTCCTATGAATAGGTGGTTCTTGATTTTTTAAAATTATTCTGAAATAGGATAGCTTTATGGACAATTTCTGAGGCCATGGGGGACCAATGTAAAAAGTACCACAGAGCCTACAATCTCATTGTCTTCTTCACCCCTCGAGTGGAATAAAATAACTTCTTCTGGCTCAGAATATTTTGGCATCACAAGCTTTCATTCCACATGCCCAGTGACCAGCCACGCTGAGTCCCAGACACCGGCGTTAGGGGTAACTCCTGCTAACGTACTTTTGACTCGAGGAAGGAGAGGGGACTACAGCCCCCTCCCAAGCAAGAGGAGAGAGAGGAAAATCCCGCTGCGGACTTCCCCTCCCTGCACGGTGCCTACTACAAAGGGAGGTTGCTAAAGCAACAGTTTCTCCTCGCTGACTCGAACTAGTCACGCACATGGGCCTTCTGCTGAATCAGTACCAGCGCTATCAGAAGAAGATGGAAAAAGCTCCTTCCTCTACTTACGCAGTGGCTCCGACAGCTCAGCCAGCACCTCTGGGAGCAGTTGCTCTGAATTCACTCGGTCCTGGTCTGACATTTCCTGCAGCTATCCACACCCCTGGGGAGCGCTTCTCCACAGCTCCGCTGGAACCATTCATGCCAATTGCCTTCATAAGAACTATAAAGGAGTAAGATATTTAGCATCAACCCACTCAGCCCCCACCAAAATAACTTCAGGCTGAGGTCTTCAGCGGCCGGCGTGGTGCTGTGCTGTTGCACCGGCAGCACGCCGCTCCCCGCAGGGCGCCCAGGCTTCTGGCCTCAGCACCCTGCAGCAGCCCTCCCTGCGCAGCCTCTGCGGCCGCGTGTCCTGGTGGGGTGGCAAACAATAGCCCTTCTGCTCACCTTGCGGGCCGGTAAAGAGAAAAGGAAAATGCCTCTGCCAAAAACCTGGCTGTGCGATCTGAGCGCGGGAAGGGCTGGCTCACACTAGCAGTACCTCTGTTAGCTTTGGCTTTGAGGGCAGAAGCGGGGCGATGACGGGAAGGGACTGCTCCACGGCAAAGGGAGCCCAGCTGTGGGCGACCGCAGCAGCCAGGTAGAAACACGCAGGGACGGTGAGATGCCCCACAGGCCAGTGTTCCCAGCTGGCTTCTGCATTTATTTCTATCAGCATATCAGCCAGCTAACCTCAGAGTTCAAAGCTGTTGGCCTGCGGCAGAGGAGAACAGCACATCCTGCACAGCCTGCGAAAGGACTCAGAGCTCCTGGGTGAGATATGCAGGTAAAGGGCTGGATACCAGTGAGGATTATTTTTATTTCACTATTTAATTCAAGGTTTATTTGTTTCCTGTGTTGATACTGATGCTGATTCATCCCAGTTCAGAAGCCGTCACGTACGGAGAAAGGAAATAACACAATCTGGCTTCCCTCTTTTGGCATCTGAACAACATAGCTCCTCAGGAGCACTCGAGAGGCCAGCAGCATGTAAATGCTTTCCCTCATGGCGACACAGACAGAACTTTCTGGTACTAGAGTAACCCCATTCCTCCCTTTGACTAGCCACAGCTGCACGTACCTTTGGTGTAACATCATGGTTATGCAATGCTGACTCTCCCACTTTGCTCTTACGGTGCCTCTCTTGTATTTGCGCAAGCAGAAGCCGCGACGGAGGCCGGCAACAGCCTCTGAGAGCCCAGGCACTTCTCAACCCTCCTTTTCTGAGCCTGCTGTGCCCCCACTGGCATCAGGTGAGCTGGCAGCACCGAACACCACTGCATTGCAGCCCAGGAGGGCGCAGTTTTCTCCAGTCTCTGTCCAGAAGGAACCTGGTAAGGCATGAACACATGGGCTGCCCAGTGCACTCACCCACCTCAATGATACCGACTCTGCTGGGATGCGCGCTAGTATTTACAAGTACATCTAGGCCTGCTGCATCTCTGGGACCCCCTCCCTTAGGTCACCATGACTTCTGCAATCATCCCGTTCACCAGGACTAATGGAGCACAGATGTACTCTTGAGGGAGTGAGCATGAACCAGAATCCTCATCTCTGGAATGCTTCCCAGGAGGAACCATCTCCTCACCATCGCGTATCCCAAAGTACCTAAGGAGAAGACAGAGCAGGAAATTAAGCAGAAGAGTGAGTTCCTAGCATTTTTGCTACTTTATCCCTTTAAGGTTCTCAAGCAGAATTTATGATCACATCTTCTTCAGAGGAAAAGTGTTGTGCTAACAGGTAAGCAGGAAGCAACCACAGTGAGATACAGATCTGTAATGCTTTAATTAAAGCACAGGTAAACAGTGAACAGCCGCAGACCTCTCAAGTGTTTCACAAGCCTCATCTTAGTCATTACTGTTTGCCTTGTAGGTTGCAAGGTGCCTAAGACTGCTCTCCATGCTAGCTTGTAGGGCATGGAGCACAACGGGATGAGCCTAACCCGGCTGTCAGGCAGAGCTGTGTACTGGTGCTTGTCCACAACAACTGAAGGATCCAAGTGCACAGCAGCAATGAAAATGCACAACCTGCCAATGTGTGACCAAGCTGTGTCAGGGCAGGAAGAAGAGATGTTTCCTTCGAGACTGAAGACTAAAGTGTATTAAAAAGAGAAAGGAGTCTTTGAAAGCTTGTCCCGCGCCGATTCCCCCAGTGTGGCAGGAAAGACCCATGTTTCTGATTTACCAATTTTGGCAGGGAACGTAGCCAGAATGTAAAACATGGGTGATCGTAAGCAGAACTAAACAGTGGGGGGCTCTGGCAGCACAGTACCGTCCACGATGGACAGTGTGGGACCCTCCTTGTGACCCTGACAACAAAGCAACAGCAGGAAGCGGTGTGGCGCTGCTGGCCATGGCTGTAATTGGCAACAAAAACACAGAAGCCTTTTTAATATTGCAAAGACAGAAATTAAATCCTTCTCCTCTTACGCAATGCTTGCCCTTCCTCAGCAGGGATCAAATCAATATGGGACCATGCAAAGTCAATGGTTTATTTCAACGGGTTTTGAATTGGGCTTTGTAGGCAAAAAAGCATCAGCCTTGTTTCAAGCTCCATGAAGACACATCGTTGTTTCCATTCCACGTCTATTTGTAGGACAGAAACGTGACTTTGTTCCTCTTTGATCCCGTTTAAATGTTACACTATTTTAAAATAAAGTCTGTCAGGAAAAAAAGAATCAAGTCTAAGGCTGGAATTATCCCTGGTGAAAATTGGGGATCCCACTTGTTAGTGAATGAGAATCACCTTGAAGGAAGTTAAGAACAACCTTGTAGCATTAATGTTGTATTTCCCCATCCTTTCTTCTGGTTTATGTTAGCACCTTAGCCTTACTTCTGTGGTGGTGGTTTAAGCACACAAGTCACTATAATACAGCTACCAAATCATATAAACAGTGCTAGCAGTTTACCGCATACCTTTCTGGAGGACGTGAACAGCAGTAGAAAGAGAACTTTCACATCATTTCTGGAGAAATGCTACAGCTGTAGGCCAACTTATATAACTGATTTAGTTCAACAGAATTGCTTTCTGCTTTTAATCTGCTCAACAGTTTATCTTTGCTGTCGTGATCGGTTGAGCTTTCTTTAAACCATTATGGATTAGCATTCTGTTATAACAGGTTAAAAGCTTAGCTTTGTTTATTTTTGTCAAGAATGGGGGTGGGATATCAGGTTCAAACATTCAGGCAGCAGTTTATGAATGGTTATTTTTCTTACATGGCAATCAATATATTCAGGTACTGAATGCAAGGCTAAATGCTTCCAGAGACAGTACTAGTGGCTGGAATAAAAATATTTGTGACTTCATTAAAAAAGAAGAAAAACAAAGAAGGACCTTTATAAATTTGCAACAGTATTTTAATCTGTAAATACAAAATTTAATCCAGCATTCAAATAGTTCATGACACCCACCAGCTTTGTATGGAAGACCAAAGAGTAAATGGTCTGAAAACTTAATTAATAAAGTTGGTTGAGAATTTTACTAAGTTTGCATTGTTGTTGCGATTTGGAGACAGAAATCCTGCCAAAAGCAATCTGTCATTCAACTGCAGGAAGATAGTACACCATAATGCACATAAAACACCGAACAAACAGAACCTCAGCCACACCACTTACAAAGAGGCGTTCAGATAATATTAACCAGCTGTTCAGTGATTTTTCACAGTGGATTCATCCACTATGAAAGTGGATAATCTATTAGAAGACTACAGTATGAATCCAGTTCCAAATTTCTACTATAAATTGATGAGCACAATATACTGTTTTAAACCAAATCCAACAATTAGCACCCTTCTTTGACCTTTGTGTAATCTAAATGATTTGCAGATGCCAGCCTGGGATGGAGTGAGAGATTGTGTTCCTGAGCACTGCCAATAATCCTCTGTGCAGCTGAACACTATTCCAAGGAAACACTAATTCTGTGATCAGTTGTGCTGGCAACCTCGCAACTTTCCTATCTAAAATGAAGCAAGTAGGCACTTTCACATTGCTAAGAGAAACACAGACACTAGAGAAGTTAAAAAAACAAGTGTCTAGTGGTGCTAGAAAAAATAAAAACATAAACCTGGGAAAGTAATTCAGAAAAGAGGAGGGAAAAAATCCAACTGATTTGCAATTAGTGCGCTGTTTGTTTTGCTTTCTTATCGGGAGGGATCTTTATTCTGCACATTCCAGTGAATGGCCATTAGCTATTAATTTCTCTTCTTTCTGACGGCAAGTGGAGCACCATTCCAGAGTTTCAACATTCCCTTGATGCTGCTCTGGTTAATGCTTGTGTGCTATTTAAACAAAGCATATTCCAACCAAATCTGACTATATATGGAATTCCCTGACAAGTAAAAATTTGGATGCCCTACAAAAAAGAACCATGAAAACAGAATACAGACACAAATATACAAACCACTCCGAACTGCAGAAACTCAACACGTACTAAAACAGGCTCTTGGTGGCAAAGGTCAGGTATCCAGTGTGACCGACCATCTCCCTGAGTGGCACGCCGCTTTTGAACTGCTGCAGATTAGCACACGGGCTACCTTGGTTTGATGGGTTGCGGCTGTCAAAGCCAGTGCTAGAATTATCTTCAGCTGCTTTTCCAAGGTCAGGGATTTGCAAACTAATTGTCCTTACATTGTACACTCGGAGCAGAATTTCCAAAGTGTTAATCTCTGTAAAACCATATTCTTCCATTGCTAGGCAGGTTCTTTGGACTTGTTCGATGCAGGGGGAGAAAGAGCAGATGCGGCCACCTGCAAAATGAGACAGGTAGTGGAAAAGAGGGCAACACCCATAACAAAGCACTTTTTATCTTCATTAAAATTCTCCCAGATCCCTGTAGAATTACTATTACATAGATAAAGTGAAAACATTCTTCAAGAAAATCTCCATGAGACAACTATGCAGGCTTAAAGTGCCAGCACAAAATCATAGATGACTCTACAAGATGGCTCAGACCCTTTAAAAACTGCAACAGCAAATTCATTCATCTTCCAAAATCCATTGTTGCCTACCACGTTTGTTCATGATAAAACCGTTAAAGTTGATCCCTTTAGAGCAGCAACTCTTGGAATCACTATCCACTATTCTGGACTGAGGCACCAAACTGAAGCTGGCACCTACACAAAGCCAGAAGTCATTCTCCACACACTGTACAGAGTTGCCTTCATTAGAATATAAGCGTGCATGCACACACACTCTGACAAAAGCGGCTGTGTTTACTTGAGAATGGTATGCATGTACAGAATAAAGTAATCTCTCCAGGCCATAGATGGAGTGCTGTTAAGGCTTTACCCTTTTAGTCAAGCTGACTAGCATGTCTCCTGAGCATTAAAGTTTACTGGATATCACATTGAGCACGTTTACAGCAAATGCTTCGGAAGTCTAGGACTTTTAAGTGATAAACTAACACTCGTCTCCTTGTCTGTGCACAGTTCAGACTTTTGATTCTAAATACAGAGTATTAATAGGCCCCCCACAACTTTCTGCATGCTACAATGTCACCTTAACAGCTAAGAATAGAATGATTCAGATTTACTCTGAAAAGCCACAGCCAAATCAGATCAAAGAATTATAAGGATACTGTCTGCCATAAAGACAGGGCATGTGCTTTCATGCAGGACACAGCGTCCCACAAGGCAACTGCCCTTCCTGAAAAGCTTTTGTGCTGGGGGAAGGAACACTGGGCAGTGCAGCTTCATCTATTGTTTCACTTATTAAAATTAGATGAAAATGCTTGATGACCTGATTTGCATTCCTTCCCAGCCCTCTCCCAGGCTCATCCAGTCAAGTCTTCCAACACCAGTTGTCTAAGCAGTTAAAGAACCCGCACAAGTGAGAGCAAAGCACCCTGCTAAAAATAGAGGCTATGCTGGGACTATGTGAAGCCTGCTTTATCTCAAACGCCCCTTTTTTTTCCCTTTTTCCTTTCTAAAGTCACATCTCTAAAAAAAGAAAGCATCAGGTCTGAAAGTGTCACTGTAGCACTCTAGTTACGGTGCAGCGACAATGTGCTGGGTACTGACTGGGGAAGAACACTTTCCATGACCATTAATCCACCATACACTATGTAGGATTTAATTTTAGTTCTGAAATAAAGTCTCTGCAGCCAGGGGTTCTTATCATGCACGTTCAGAACAAAGTACCCTGGACAAGTAATTCCCTGGAGTGACAATTAAGAAACAGATCTAATAATCACCTGCAAAATTAATGCTGGTATGTGTCATTATCAACCAACTCTGTTGAAGCCAATTTAATTGCACACCCAGTCCGCTAGCTCCCACGAAATTAGATTGGTATGTTCTTCAGCATGGCCAGGGCTACCAAAATTATTCCGAATCAGACAGCTAATCTTTTCTGGCGAAAGCAGTACACACTTCTACCATGTTTGTAGATGTGAGAGAAAAAAGCTCAAGAATAAATTTCTGTTAAATAATTAGAAAGCTACTATGAGGCACATATGTTATAAAGAAAGATGTTGTATTCTTACTGTGTAAGGAACTGAACAAATGTCTAACTTAGCTAAATGTCAGTTCACAATAACTCTTTGTCTGCAAAGCAAAAATTTGCAGAGAGACCAGAGACTTACTACTATTTCATTCAGGCTTTTTGTTTTTTGGTGTTTTATATTGCAATAGAAAATATATTTACATTTACAGTAAGTCTGTTCTTATTTATTCCGACTACAAGGGTTTCAAGATCTGTTTAGGCTTTCGAATTCACATGCTCTAGATTTACAGTCAAAAAACTAAGAAGCCTGCACACAGCTGTTGCCATACAAGCTGCAAAGCCGCCTACGGTTCTTGTCAAGCCTTCAATTAAAGGCAGAGCACCCTTCATTTTGCCTCAGGATGGTCAGCTGAGCGCAGCACGTCAACACCAAACTTGGTGATGATTTATCAGACCGCCTCTTGCAAAGCAGACTGCTTGGCTAAGTAGGGTTACAAAAAAGGGGCTTTCAAGCCACTTGGCAGGGAAGAAAACTCTTGTTTGCAATAGCTAATATCCAGAGGGGAAGCGCAAAAAATAATATTACTTTACTTACTGCACTGCTGGGAGTTTCTCAGGTATGAGGAGTGAGAAAACAGCCTAACAGCTGGTATTCCATGTAACTGAGAGCATCCAGTGGGTTTTAGTAGGTCCTGCCAATTGCATTTTTTCCCCTTTCATACCTGTTGTTCTGGTTATTATTATAGATCCCTCCCAAATAAATATACCTACAAATAGCTTAGAAGAAAAACCACAAAGCATCCGTCTTTATGGATCCTAACAAGTGGGAGAGGAGTCTCCTCTACTTTTTCCTGTATATATCATCGGGCAGGCCAGATTTGACTTGCAGGCTGGACTTGTTTGATTAAGCAGATATTAAGAGAAGATTGGAAAGGTACAATTAGCAGAAGGTAAAATGGAAGGCAAAAATGAAACTGCAGTTGCAGACAGCGAGAGCCTGTCTAAAATAGAAAGATTTGGGAAGCTTCACTTGCCATGGTGACCAGCAAGAAAACATGGACTCTGGGCAGCAGAAAACCAGCACTCAGAAGGACATGCTCTTCTGTTCTAGGAGCAGAGACATCATCATCTTCAACAGACCAGATGCTTCTGAATTCTCTACATCGTAGGTTGTCCTCTGTACCCCCGCTGGATTACCAGCTAAGCAACACCCTTTCTGTCACAATCACCAAACAGATATAAATCTAGATTTCAGCATTCACAATTCTCAGATTCTCTAAGAGCCCTCTTGTCCTTTAGACATCAAGAGGCATTTAAGGGCTTAAAGGACTTGAATATGCATTGCTTCGTCTTGCCATGCCACGGATTCCTTAGTGAATGAAGAAAAGACATGTACTCCCCCCATCTCCACTCGCTGGGGCGCACTGCTCTGCCTGGGGATCACAAAGGGGTGGACTAGGCTAGAGAGCAGTGAAAACAACTGAACGGAAACTTTTTAATACAAACTGAGTTTGTGTTCTTTCAGAGCTCTCCTTTTAGGAAAGCTACCATTCCTAAATTTGGTTAATGAGATCTGTGTGTCATCATAAATTGATATAGTAATTATTCAAGATTAATCCTGTTCGCATTGGGAAGCTGTGTGAGCTTTTTGATCTGAAGAGCTGTCTAAAAATGTGTTTATTCATGTATAATGCATCTGACAAGTGCTACAGTTGAGAAGAAGAGAATAATAAGACTGTATGAAAGACTTAAATTTTTTTCTACCTTCAATTTTACAGGGAGTGAATTAGTTTGAAACATTTAATGGAGAGGTTAAATCACCCGAACCTGTAGGCTGGAACAAGCCCACACAGTCCTGGCAGTCACTCTAACCAGCAATAGGGTCAAGAGGATATGAAAATTGAAGTACAATTCAGACTGGAATGATTAGAGAAGAGAGCTTAAGGGAAGGGGGAAATAAAAGAGAAGATTTGCATCCACATAGCACTTTACATTTTAGCAGACAGTGTCTAATTAATAATCAAGGGACACACCCTCGCATCTTTACAAGAGGTCAGTGCTTTGAAAGTTGCTCCTCTTTCAAGAGCAGTTCCTGGTACGTTCCTGTGCAACTCCAACAACTGTTTTGTTTCTGGTTTGTCAGAGCAAGAACTAACATCTCTACCAGTTCTATTTAGCCAATAATTGCATTAGGTTTCAAGTATGGAAAATCTGGCAGTGTTACCCAATTGACAAGAACTCCAGTGCATGCTTATGATAGAGAAAACGTGTCCAAGTTATGTGCTCTCACTTCTGTAGGTTATAGTATGTGTCACAAGTGCTCTGACAGGTTTTTTCATCATCCCAATATTATTCAGAAGATGCAAAAACAACATAATGTAGTGCAGCACCATTAAGTTCCAGGGGAAAAGGGCTTGCAATCTTAGAAATGACTCTGTGATGTAAAGAATACAACACAGCATTTTCATCTCTGGTAAAGAACACGGCTCTGGGTTTTGGGACTTCAGTGCATTGTCATAATTGGAAGATTACGTTACAAAGATCTCATGGAAGACAAAAATCACACAGGCATTATCATTATATAGGGGCAAGGCAGAAGAGTCACTGAGCAGCATCACCGTGGCATTTACTCTGTGCTAGTAGGACACTAAAAATATTGCCTCTGTAAAAGGGGACAGAACGTCCTTTAAGTGTGTGTGCTCGTGGGCGATTTGATGTAGCTTCCCTGACAAGTGAAATTAGAGGATTCGGCTGTTGGAAGAAATTAAAGGATGTTTCTTGATTCAGAAAAGAAAATTTTCTCCAAATCACTTGCCAGCTCATTAATAGGAGCTTGATGTGATTTTCTGCAAATCTGACCTTAACCTCTACATTTGTAGGTGTATCCTTCAAAAGAAATTTATTCCTGCTCACTATTATGGGCTGGCAAAAGCATGCAAGAAGGAAATTAAAAAATCAAATTGGGGAAGAAAACCTAACAACTTCCTTTAAGGATCCTTTCATCCCAAACTACTTCCTACAAACTGTGTTAAGGCCAATAGCTTTGGCTGGCGTTCCACAGCATGGATTACGTACGATGCAGGAATCCTTCTGCTTGACTCTTGACAGGTGAGAGAATCACTTTTACTTCAGGCCAGGCCTGTGTGCACCTGACCTACCAATCCCTGACAGACTAGACAGAGCTAGGTTAATGCCCTCCAGTAAGATACAACTCCTGGGGCTGGCTGAGCAAACAGCCAGTGCTTGGGAAGCAGATAAAGCTGCTTTGTGCATTAGCACCCAGTCCTTGAGCCCAGCAGGGCAGCTTTGCACTAGACCAGTCGGCCCCTCAATGTTGAGAGGATATGCTTCCACTTAAGTTAGTTGGTGGATCTTTAACCTCACCTTGAGTTAATACTCCTTGGAATCAAAGCAGGTACCACACTAGCAAAGGCTGGTGCTGGCATTTTAGCAAGCACTTATTGCTTCATGCATTTATTCCAAAACAATCTCCTGGGGTCATGAGAAGTGTTGATACCGACTTGAGTACCACCTGCATGGGTGGAGGACGACAGCATGCTAGACTGTCAGGCTCCACTTCCTGCCCTAACACATTCCCTGTGCGTTCCTGAGGTAGCTCTAGGTTCCCGAGCCCAAACATCAGCCTTGATGCCACTGCCCTCTTCTCAGTGTGATTCAGCTGGAGGTACTCCCTACCCAGATACCACAGGGGTGAAAGTTGTGGCCAGGGATTTCAGCTGCTCCTCAAAGCCACAGCTGGGTGGTTTAAAAATGGGACCATGAATAACCTCTGGGGCTCAAGAAAACTAGCCAGTGAGACTTTCTACATGGACCTGGTATTCCCTGAAAGCTCAGGGGAGGAGGGAGGCAAGCCCAAATGAAAACTGAAACTAGCCAAACCAGGCAATGCCTTACCTGCACCACAGGCTACTGGGAGGATGAGATAGTATTTATTCTCTTATACAGCATCTGTAACAACCAAACCTGGCAGGTTAGGACAACAATCAATGGCTATGCTAAGGGGAAGAAAATGCAAACAAGACCTGTTTTAACTCCAGTGTGTACAAACGAAACAAGTATAAGACTTTGGAAAATGAAGACCAACTATTACTACAAAGAGCAGCGTTCTGCTGAAGGGCTTCTGTGATGGCAGGAAATGCAGAGGCCCAAACAGAGATGTCCAGAGGGAACTTTCCCTGACGGGTTTTGGGGGGAGACCTGACAGCACCATGTTCCTGATTCACATGATATTTTGAGGATGACAATTTGACAAACTCATAATTTAGGGGTTTTAGGACACTCGAGAGGGAGTGGCAAGTCTGAATTTAAGAGTAAAATCTTTAAAAGAAAGGAAATAAAAAGAGGGGTGGTTTTAATAATTTTGTGACTCAGACTGTTAATTTAAACACCACCAAGGACCAATTTAAAATGCAAGAGGCAACCTAATATATGGTTGTATTTTTCAATCTCTCTACCTGAAAATTTAAAATCTGTATGAAAATTATTGTACAAATGGGTTTCTGCCTCATCTTCCACAGCCTTGGAAGAAATAGACAATATTTATGAGGGTAGGTGGGTGCAGAATTATATTCAAAGCACTACAGTATTCAGCTGTACAGTGACTGTGGGTCAAAAGTTTCAGGGCATTTAAGAACTGTAGAATATTGAGGATATTTTTGTTACCTCACAAATTTTTCATTTACTTCATTTCTTAAAATTTAGCCTGAAGGTGTTAACAGCAACTTTGCAAAAACCACCAAGGTCAGATATTGTGAACAGCAGCTATGACTATAGAAAAGTATTAATCATTAAGAAAAACAGTGTAGGTCTGGAAATGAAAGCAAGTTCTGCAGTGCAGCAGTGCCTGAGAGATATTACAAGCAGCATTTGTGCTGAAGGTGTGACTAGTGAAATCTGCACAGAAGGATGGAGCTCAGATGCAAGCCTGAACGTTGGCAGAGCACATCACCAGAGAACAAGAATCTTCTAGTCACAAAGCTACTGTGCCATTTTATTTTTTTAGTCCTTCAGAGGTTGGCAGTGCTTTAAATGGGAGGCCAAGCTACTGTCAGTAGTGTATTTACAGCATACTGCAAGGCATAACGTGAGTGATAAATGTAGTCTGTAAAGAGGATCATTAACACTCAGCCTACTAGGAGCTGCAACTATTCAGGATCTTCAGCCTAAGTACGAGAGAAAACATTGATTTGGTAAGGTTTTGTTAAGGTTAAGAACTCTCTCTTACATACTGTCTCAGCTGAACACACTGTAATGAATATTGTGGTTTTAAAGAGGAGGCTAGCTGATGTTATATATTGAATTTGCTTAGCTCTGATTTCATTCAAACTACCTTAAGACTTTAAGGAATAAATTACGACTCTCTGGCAGTACAGCTGTGATATTTGCATGGCACATAACAATAAAATCCACAGCGTGAATGGTTCAAATGTGACCCTGTCCAGATGTGAGAGAGAGGGCATGGAGGGAAGACAGTGGAATGGCTCATTTCCTCCAGTGATGCTTTATCACTATACTAACCCTTGGAACGGTGGTGAACAGCAGCAGTATGTGCACAGACTGTTCTTACTGCAGAAGAGCTTTAACTACTTGAAAACAAAACAAAGGAGCACTATAAAATTATCTGCCTGTGGTAGGGAA